CGATCCTCTGTCCGCCTCCTTCTCCTCCACGATCGTTTGCGGGCCGCGCCTCCTCCGTCACTGGGCCCCACCTCCTCGATCCCCAGGCCTGACTCCCCATCGCTAAGACCTGCCTCCTCGATCGCTAGGCCCCGCCTCCTCCATCGCTGCCGACGATGGGCCCAGCCACCTCCCCAGAAGCTGCTGGTCGTCATCGACTCAGCAGCTGTGAGGAGGTATGCCCCCCTGTGCCCCATAGCGGCCGCCTGGGTCGCTATGGTGATTGTTACACCACTGCATAGATGTATATATATATATATATATAAACTGTATATATATTTCCTATGTGTATTTGACTGCTTATCTGGAGTTCAGTCATGACTGGTTCTCTTTAAAGGTGATTTATCCTTAGCACTTCTCTCTTCCTAAACTGAACCAAAATCCCGGGTCAGTCAGGGATGTCTGCAGTCTCTGTACTTCTTGCCCTGTACAGATATTAATAGAGATGAGACGTAAATAAAAAACACACAATTTCACGGGCCGTTGATTTGAAGACAGCGTTCAGTGCAGCCACAGTGACCTCACACACACACAAACACACAGCGCAATTCATATACCCAGGGACGCGGATCTGCGAGCAGAATCCTGGAAGGTGAGCTGAGGACAAGCAGAGTACACAATAACAGCCAGGAGTTATCTGCGAGATACTGACCGCCATGTGACAAGACGAAGTTCCACAGATCAGGGCCAGCCGCGACGTGATTGGCTCATTTTCGCAGGGGAGATGGTGTCCCGTCACGTCTGCGCCGATTACTCCTTATCATGAAGAAACATAACAGAGAGAGGGATTAGAGCCATGCGGAACGCGGGCCAAGCACATGACGAAACGTCAAAGCACCAAAACACGACGGACGATTTCCTCCGACTGTGTGATATTCCCAACGTTTAAAGTGACACTAAACTCCAGAGTTAAAGTGACATTAAACCCTCAGATTTTTTAACATAAAACAATACTGTAATGTGCGCCGTCCTGTAATCCATGGTTGTTTCCCTTCTCTTTGCTGCTCTTCCTTTTAAATCTGTATCTGTTCTCATGCTGGGCAGAACTTCTGTTTTGCAGCAGACTGCCTTGTCTCTGGAATGGATACATGGTGTCTGTGTGTTGGTTCACAACCTGAGCCAGTACTACAGGAAGAGGCACTCAGCTGCAAAGGGAAGTTCTTCCCAAGCATGAGAAGAGATGAGGATTTAAAAGGAAGAGCAGCAAAGAGAAGGGAAACAACCATGGATTACAGTAAGGCACACATTACAGTAGTGGTTTATGTAAAAAAATCTGAGGATTTAATGTCACTTTAAATCTTAAAAATACATTCAAGTCCCTGAACTATGAACAACAATGTATCTTATTTGTGTGTCACTCGGCTGTAGATCCTCCAATCGTCTCTGAATTGGTGCTGACACTGTCCTTCCTTCTGGAGGGGGGCTACGTCTGTTCCCCATGGTCCCTGTGTGTGTTGTAAAGTAGTCACCGCTCCAAGCTCGCTTCCGGGATGGACTAAAATCTCATGTTTAGTTTATTAATTTGTATTGAGATTGTAGTCACATAAATGTTACAAAAAAATCAAGAAAAAGACACAGAATTGGAACACTCAAGCACAGCCTGAGGTCGGTTTCATGTAAACATCAGTTTTAATAAACATAACAAGGGGCGTGATATATTCTAACTTTCTCATGATTCTATGAGCGATATAGAAAGTTCACAAAACAGATCTTATTCTTATATGAAAACCCAATTATTAGAAACATAGAAAGGGAATAGTGACGGCAGAAAAAGACCACGTTTCAGTACACTTACCGGTAACCGACTCACTACCTCTGCTAGAAGTTTGGATCAACTACTCCTCTGTGTTGGCCAGAACTACAAAATAAAATGATTTGATGGTGCTTTCAGATGATTGCAATATAAGCAAACAAGGTGGCCAGGCCATGGGAAAAGCAAATTGGATTGTGGGGTGCATCACTAGAGGGATCCCCAGCAGGAGGAAGGAGGTCCTGATCCCTCTATATAGATCTTTATCACTAGAGGGATCTCCAGCAGGAGGAAGGAGGTCCTGATTCCTCTATATAGATCTTTATTATCACTAGAGGGATCCCCAGCAGGAGGAAGGAGGTCCTGATTCCTCTATATAGATCTTTATTATCACTAGAGGGATCCCCAGCAGGAGGAAGGAGGTCCTGATTCCTCTATATAGATCTTTATTATCACTAGAGGGATCCCCAGCAGGAGGAAGGAGGTCCTGATTCCTCTATATAGATCTTTAGTTATCACTAGAGGGATCTCCAGCAGGAGGAAGGAGGTCCTGATCCCTCTATATAGATCTTTATTATCACTAGAGGGATCTCCAGCAGGAGGAAGGAGGTCCTGATCCCTCTATATAGATCTTAGATATCACTAGAGGGGTCACCAGCAGGAGGAAGGAGGTCCTGATTCCTCTATATAGATCTTTATTATCACTAGAGGGATCCCCAGCAGGAGGAAGGAGGTCCTGATTCCTCTATATAGATCTTTATTATCACTAGAGGGATCTCCAGCAGCAGGAAGGAGGTCCTGATCCCTCTATATAGATCTTTATTATCACTAGAGGGATCTCCAGCAGGAGGAAGGAGGTCCTGATCCCTCTATATAGATCTTAGATATCACTAGAGGGATCTCCAGCAGGAGGAAGGAGGTCCTGATTCCTCTATAGATCTTTAAATCATTTAGAATACTGTGTCCAAATCTCATGAAAATATATTGATAAGATGGAATGAGTCCAGAGATGGCAACAAACATAGTGAAAGGTCTGAGGGATATAAAATATTAGGAGACAGAGCAGGAACCTAATATGTCCAGTCTGGAGGAAAGAAGGAAAAGGGGGACGCGACTGAAACCGTTAAATACACTAAGGGCCTGCGTAGACAGCTTTCAAAGTGGGTTTTACATTCCCATACAAGGCTATAAAACTGCAAACCAGGCCGGTGAAATATCAGGAGGAGGTGGAATGCACCTGTCAATGTGTTCCAAATGAGCCTTAAACCTTTGCCATCGACACAAGCCCAAAGCCTGCCAACACCGGCCATAAATGAGGTTCAAGAGTATTTCACTATGCAGCTGAGATCTAGAACATGATGACATGACCTTAAATCAGCAGGAGGAATGTTCAAAAGTGACTTTAGAAAGCATTAATTTACCGAAAGAGTAGTTGATTCTTGGAACAGATTTCCACCAGAGGTGGGGAGTCAGTCAACAGTAAGTGAGTTAAAACATGCTTGGGGTAAACATAGGTCTATACCCAGAATTGTAATAAAAAACACAAAAAATGGGGTAGACTCAGGCCCGGAGCTACCGCAAGGCAAGTCAGGCGACCGCCTGAGGGCGCTGCAGGGTGAGGGCGGAAAAAACAGGGCATTTTGACAAGTACTTGTGAAAATGCCACGATGTTTGCGCTATGGTTTTTTTTTTTTTTTCACTGGCCGGCAACTGCCAGAGGATCCCGACACGCGCGGCACCTCAGGCAGTCACCGGCCAGCTAAATTAGGACCCCACCTGGAGCTCCTCCCACCGGACCAGCGCTGACTCGCCTCTGCTCTCCCGCGCCGAAAGTAAGTGAAAAAAAATGCACCTTGCCTGTGTAGGCAAGAATCCTAGCACCGGCCCTGGGTAGACTTGACAGACCACTTGGTCTTTATTTGCCGTCCATGCTCCTGCTATATACAGACCCCTCAGAGACCACAAAACCTCTCGGTGGTTGTGTCCGGAGAAGAATGCCTATGCCCATACAATGCCGGGATCGAGCCTTAACGAGTCCAGCTGTGTAAGCACTGTGCCTTTTATAACCGCCAATTAAGTGGAAGAGTCAGTTCTGCACACAGCTGTGGAGAAAATACCTGATTAACTGCGACACGGGCCCAAGACGCAGCTGCTCGCTCGCGCCGCAATGCAGACTATAGGTTCAGTGTGTACCTGCCGCAACCGCGGCTCTCTCTCTCTCCCCCTCTTTATGTTATTGGAAAATGATTGTAATTTAGCCATTTCCTGAGCCTGTCATCACCTTCTCTGCCTGAGTCGACCTTGAACTTTCCGAAGGGTCCCAAAGGAACTCGTTCCCCTAAACACTGCAATCATTGAAGGGCATTCCCACGTATGCCTCGAGCTGGGTTTTCACGAAGAAATCCCTCGGCCTGCAAACCTGATCGCCAAAGGAGCAGTTTTGGAATTCTGGAATATAAATATCTTTTCGACAATTATGTTTCAAAATGTGCTTTTAGGTGTTAGAAGTTCTTTATCGCTTCCAGTCAGCTTTTTTGGAGTATGTGGTATGTGTAATGTATGTTCTGATTTATATGCAGTGTGTGCGTTGGGTTTAAACTGTATGTCTGGGCGAAATAATGATATTAAATTAAAATATATATATTACATTTAGGGCTGCGGAAATTAATGATTCATTTCTCGATTAATCGTTAAACTTTTTGATCGATTAAAATTATTTTGATCGCTAATGAAAACACTCACCTCTCCGCCGGCTTCCGGGAGTCCCGTCGGAGATCCGGTGACGTCACGGACATCGATGTCTCCGGACTCCTCCCCCCTTCCCCAAGTGGCTCCGTCGGCTAACGAAGGGAAGGGGGGAGGAGTACGGTGACGTCGATGTCCGTGACGTCACCGGACTCCTCCCCCCTTCGTTAGCCAACGGAGCCACTTGGGCCGGTGAGTTTGCCCAAGAAACTTGTTCTGCACGAGCGCCAGCCAAGGCATTGGCCTATACACATACAGCACAGCAATGAAGTATTAAAATGAACTAGGATCACACTAATCCAGCACGTTATTCATCTCACGTGCCCCACTCAAGCGGCGGCCATATTGAGTGGGGCACGTGAGATGAATAACGTGCTGGATTAGTGTGTTCCTAGTTCATTTTATTACTTCATTGCTGTGCTGTATGTGTATAGGTCAATGAAGTTGGATCTGTATGTGCGTTATAATTAATCAAAATTAATCCATTAAAAATTTTTTTTATTAATCGAACACGAACATTTTAATCATTACCAGCCCTAATTAAATTACAAATGAAATAATAAAAAATATATTTTGTTCATCTCTTTACGCGCCTTTAAGCAGATGCATATCCAGAACCACTGGTGCATAGTGCAAATTAGGGATGACCCGATACTAGTATCGGTGCCGATACCGAGTATTTGGGCGAGTATGAGTACTCGACCAAATGCTCCGAGGCCTAGTCCGATACCCGAACTTCCGGTATCAGGAAGCCAGGCAGCATGTAATGACTCACTGCCAGGCTTCCCGATTGGTCAGAAAGATGGACAATGAGGAAGCCGGACGACGAGTCATTATCCGCCCCCCGGCTTCCTGATTGGACATAAAGCCGGCTTCATGCTCCCTCGTCACTGGCCAATCATGAAGCCAGGCGCCGTGTAATGACTCGCCACCTGGCTTTCTGATTGGTCAAGAAGCTGGCCAATCAGGAAGCCAGGCGGCGAGTCAATTCCTGCCCCCCCAGCTTCCTGATTGGCCAGAAAGCCAGCTTCATGCTCCCTCATCACTTGGTGACAAGAGGGCATGGAGCCAGCTTCCCGATCTATCAGGAAGCTGGGCGCCGTGTAATGACTTGCCACCTGGCTTCCTGATAGGTTGAGAAACTGGGCCATTAAGAAGCCAGGTTGCGAGTCATTACCCGCCCCCCGGCTTCCTGAATGGCCAGAAAGCCGGCTCTATGCTTCCTCGTCACCTGGTGGTAAAAATGTTTCAAGTACAAAACAAAAAACCTGCCAGAAACCCAGTGAGCGCTGTCCCCCCTGGGAGCAGGTCTCTGCACGGGAGTGCACCGCATAAGCATGCCCATGTGAATGACCCCCCTATAACAGAATGCCTTATGTAACATTTGTAAACCAATTTATATCCACTGGAGTTCACCTTTAAGGCACAAACCTACCGAGCCCGCCAGCGTGAGCGTCTATAAGCGCGGCGGCCACCGCGATCCCCTGCGGAATGCCCAGCTCGCTGGCAGCCTCCGATGTGAGCCCGTTCCCCACACGAACTCCTGGAGACACGACCTGGTTTCCTGGGCAGACGGAGGAAACATAAAATTAGACTTCACACTGATAAAAGAGAAATAAAACAGACGTTGGCTGCTGGAAGCCAGCGATGGGCGCTCCAACGCTCGCCAATACAAGCCGCGCCGGGGATTTAGGAAAACTCGAAAGAAGGATTGTAACGGGTCAGGATAGTCAGGGAAAGGTAACAGGCTTAGCGGCTTATTGATAAAAAACCTTCATGTTTTCTTCTTAGTGTGCTGACGCACTTCACCACCATTGTGGATGATTCCGCCAATCACTCTCCAGGTAATTTATAAGGATACTTTTTTTAGTCATGTTAAACCCGCCTCGGGTTGTATGAGAGGCGATCGATCATCGCTCACTGATACAAGGAGGCTCCTCAGAGAGTATATTACACAGCACTATGTAGCAAAAAATGTATCTAAAGTAGGGCTGTGGAAATTAAAGATTCATTTCTCGATTAATCGTTAAACTTTTTGATCGATTACAATTATTTTGATCGCTAATGAAAACACTCACCTCTCCGCCAGCTTCCGGGAGTCCGTCGGCTAACGAAGGTAAGGGGGGAAGAGTCCGGTGGCGTCGATCTCCGTGGCGGCTAACGAAGGTAAGGGGGGAGGAGTCCGGTGGCGTCGATCTCCGTGGTGGCTAACGAAGGGAAGGGGGGAGGAGTCAGGTGGGGAGTCCGGTGACGTCACCGGACTCCTCCCCCCTTCGTTAGCCGACGGAGCCACTTGGGCCGGTGAGTTTGCCCAAGAAACTTGTTCTGCACGAGCGCCAGCCAAGGCATTGGCCTATACACATACAGCACAGCAATGAAGTCATACAATGAACTAGGATCACACTAACCCAGCACGTTATTATTCTGAGTTGCCCCACTCAAGCGGCGGCCATATTGAGTGGGGCACGTGAGATGAATAACGTGCTGGATTAGTGTGATCCTAGTTCATTTTATTACTTCATTGCTGTGCTCTATGTGTAAAGGCCAATGTAGTTGGATCTGTATGTGCGTTATAATTAATCAAAATTAATCGATTTAAAAAAAATTTGATGAATTGAACACGAACATTTTAATCATTACCAGCCCTAATCTAAAGTCAGAACTTTTTTTTTAGTTTTTGGATAGGGTACGGAAGGGTCGGATCCCTTGGCAATTTTTATATATGTCATATGTTATATATGTGTCCTGTGTAGAAAAGGAATAACTTTGGCTGGTTATACGCAGTGACGTCACAATGGGGTGTGCGGCCCGCACCCGGGTGACACCATTGGAGGGGTGACACCAAAATGACTGACAGTCATTTTGGTGTAACCCCCCTTTTGAAAAAGTCGGGCGCTCGGTCATGGACAGTATCAGGAGAGAGGAGGGGACCCGGCGGCATATATCATCCCGCCGGGTGACTGTCCCTTCCTCTCTCTGCCGGCGTCCATCACCAAGATGCCCGCCGGTAGGTATCAGAAGATCACTGCGCGAGCACGTGGTGACGTCACGCCCATGCGCGCGGTGACGTCTCTGCCGGGTCAGACCCGGTAACCGCTCCAGGTGTCACTCAGCCTCGGGACACCCCTGGTTATAGGTACTTTTAAAGAGAAACTTTACCCGTAACTTTGAAATGTCACCAAAAACACCATCAGGAATGTCTAGTAGTGACGATCTACATACAGATTAGAGATGCACCGATACCTTTTTTCCAGTACTGATATTTTGCTTTCGGTACACGCCGATACCAAGTACCGATACCGGTGCTTCCACTGTCATGGAGAAGGCCTCCCGGGCGATCCGAAAGCCAGACGGCGGGTAATGACATGCTGCCCGGCTTCCTGATTGCCCGAGAAGCCGGCTCCATGTTGTTTGGCCGGCTTCCCAGTCAATCAGCATCGAGCCGGCTTCACGGCAAATCAGGAAGCCAGGAGGCAAGTAACGACCCGCCTCCCAGCTTCCTGATTGGCCGGGAAGCCGACTCGATGCTGATTGGCTGGAAAGCCAGCTTCCAAGCCAATCAGGAAGCCGTGAGGCGGGTCATTACTACTCGCCACCCAAATTTCTGATCGCACAGGAAGCTGGCTCCATGTTCCCCTATGGCACTGCCGGTCAGAGGAAATCTTCCTTTACCTTCCTTTACCCCATGCAATTCCCGGTATGTGTGCAAAGGTTATAGATTAAGTGCATGTTTGGACCCTTGATATGAATCAGGGTTAGGCAAACTTTGGCCCTCCAGCTGTGGTTAAACTACAAATCCAATCATGCATCTGCCTCTGGGAGTCATGCCTGTGGCTGTCAGCAATGACTCTTGCAATGTCTAATGCGTTTTGTAGTTGCACCACAGCTGGAGGGCTAGAGTTTGCCTACAGCTGATCTAAATGATCCCACCGTCACCCTCCACAGATCTATACTTAGCGAAATCTGAGGGTCACTTCTCCTCTGTCTGTTGACAAGTTTCCCTCTCATGGCCGCGTCCTTCTCCCAGCCCAATAGAAGTCTATGGGGTTGTAATGTGCAGGTGCGGCCAGCAGAGGGAGTATTAGTGTTTGAATGGAAGTAATAGCAGAACATTGCCGGCTGGATCTCGGTACGTATGGGTCTGTGGAGGAGGAGGGTGGGATCGTTTAGGTCAGGGGTGGAGAGGCAAAAGGAAATAAAACAAAGTGCACTCATCCTTTAAATTTCCAGGATAATTAAAAGACGCTTCCTTAAAGGAGAACTATGAAGTGAGTGCTTTTCACTCACCTCATAGTTCTAGCCGACCTGTGACAATGAGACTGTCACAGGTCGGCTCAGTAGATCGGGAGGTGAGTTAACACATACCGGCATTCGCTCACCTCTCCATCCTGTCACGATTCCCCCCTCCCCGCTCCGATCCGCCAGCACTGACTGGCAGAACAGACGGGGAGGGGGCGGGTACAGCTGGCTCTGTCTCTAGATAGGCAGAGCCAGCTGTCAGTCACGCAGCTGGGCGGATCCCGGCACAATTGTCGGGATCCGCTTCAGCTGCGGCGTCTCAGTATATAAGGAGCTACAGCTCGCGGTATACTGAGCCTAGGGTGACGGGAGGACACTAGTTTGTGACCTCCCGTTACCCTAAGGAGAACTATGGGGAAAAGCCTTAACCCCATAGTTCTCCTTTAACCCTCAGGAGCCATTTAAAGCCCCCTGCTCCCTTAAAAGCCATCTTAAATCTAGCCTTTCCCATTGACTCCAATGCCTTACCCCAAAATGGCCCAAATATTTCACCCAAATCTCCAGAGATGTCAGGGAAATGAAAACTCTCAATTCCTCCTAATCACGACGCTCTTTAAGGACAAGCCTCACCGGCAAACAGCAGTACAGAACAAATGGAGTTTGATGATATAGAGAAGAGGAGCGGGGCTGTAATACTGGAATAATCCTTCCTTCCCCATGAAAAACAAATGACATTTTAACACTCAGCATATTATTTGATGTAGCCGGATGATGAATTGCTGGCGGTGTAACTGGAGGGTCACGCTGTCTCAGCCAGTTGGGAACCAGATGTTTTAACATAAATCATGCACACACAGTTTGTATTCTATACAGTTCAGCTGTTTAAAAGGGACATAAGGATATGTACTAATTTAACCTGACTGCAGGGGCCCCCTGGGGCCAAATCCACAGTCCCAGACTGGTGATGGCTGCAGCTGTCATATCTGAAGGCTGTAGATCTGTTTTTAAAGGCAGCTATAGTTAATACTCCAGTTAGAACTCCGGGATAAGCAAATGTTGTCTATATACAAGAGTCATCTGTATTCTTCCCGGAATCTTGGTGAGCTTTGTGTATTTCTTCCAGATCTGTGCAGTGATCCAGTGTGAGACTTGGAGCTTCCTGTACTAAAGACCAGTCATTGCTGTTCTCTCTCCTTGTGCAGGGTGACTGGTCTTGTTTCCGCCCTCTCCTATAATAAAGACCGGTCACTGCTGCTTTCTCTCATTGTGCAGGGTGACTGGTCTTGTTTCCGCCCCCTCCTGTAATAAAGACCAGTCACTGCTGCTCACTCTGGTCTTGTCTCCGCCCCCTCCTGTAGTTTCAAGTTGTGGGTGGGTCCAGTTGGGCCCCTCCCACAGCTCTGCTCAGGCTACGTACAGCACAGTGCTGATCTCATTGCTTTTGTTACAGCCTCATTCACGCGAGAGAAGGCCGTCATGTACAGCTCCGTGCTGCGTGCACGGCCGTATAGGGCAGCTCCCGGGAAGGACAGGTGCTGCGTGTGATTAGTGAAAGGTTTTCTTTGCCTAGCGTTCATCTTTAAATGAAGGTGGTTTTAGCTATAGAAGGTTAAATCCATTATTATTAAAGTGTCTTTCTCATAAAGTGGTTTTTAAAAAGGATTTTGAAAAGTGAAAAGTTAACTGCAAGTGTTAGGCGCTCGTTTGGTCAAGGGGCGAAAATAAAGAAGATATACTCACCTGATCCTTGGTCCCGCAGCCTCTAGTCCCCCCGGCTCTGCTGATCTAAGGACATGTGGGGTCATCACGTCCAATACAGGTGTATTAAATGTGAAGATGTCTGGAGCGGGGGGGAGAGGTGGGTGGTCACCGCCACAGGATCAAGAATGAGGTGAGTATATCTTCTTTATTTTTGCCCCTTGGCCAAATTGAGCACTTAACCCTGTGCAGGAAGTGCGGGAAAGGTAGCCCCACCGCAATGGTTAACTTTTCAAAATCCTGGTGTTCTTTAGGGCTTATGTCACATTGGCAATCCTGTTGTGGTAAGTACCTGTGCTGTGGTATCATTCATGCCTTGAGATACAAAAAAAAGAGGGTCACGTCCGATTGTCGGCACATCGGAGTGCATGGGCATTCCTTTCAATGCGCTGCCTTACCACACTGCACAATAATGTGCCATATAACTACAAAAGTGTAAATGGGCCCCAAAAGTCTTTGTAATATGGTAAAAATGTTCTGCAGAATAACCTTCAACGGGTGATGGCGAGGTTATAAAGGTGAGTGGGCGGACGATGTTGATGAAGCGGCACAACTGTCGGAATCGAT